TGTGTGTCGGGTTGGGTCCGAGTCCCGTTATATAGTCCCTTATCGATGACACAGGTGTACTGGGGGAGTTAATCGTCGGTAATGCATTACTCGAAAATCTACTTTCGCACTCAAATCGGTTCCACATTTAAGTTATATATTTTTATTACTAAATGTGTTATGTTTTATGTGTTTGCTAATGTCTAAAGTTTTCATCTTCACCATCAACAGTAACTGCTTTATTATTATCACTTTTACTACCAATCCTCTTCTTACCAAACAAGGAAGGGTGAAAATGATCAATTGATATAATAACATGTATAATCATTATCACTAATATCAATTTAATTCATTGTCAAAGCGATCATCATCTCAAGCAGTATCATAATTATTTTGAAACAGGAAATTACAAACCTCTTAATATATTTTCTTTAACTAACAGTATATCAACTCACGAGTCACATTTACAATCTGAAATATTTGCAAAGGATTATGATGTTAGTCCCCCCCCCCCTTTTGTAGACAGTTATAATGGGTAGCAGAGGAACCAGCCAGAAAAAATATATATATTCAACATTTCATTAATGAATTAGGCTTTCGTCTTAAAAATATATTCCTTTAATCTTGTAATTTTTGTCATAATATGTGGTTATTATAATAATTATGACGGCTACTTTTGTCATAATTATTTCTATCATCGTATTGTATTCCTTTGATGACTGCCTTTATCACTGATAGTAAGAATATTAAGAAGATTACGACTGCTATTATTAACTTTAGTTTTATCTTTATCATTAATATGATTATCACTGATATTATTATTATCATTTTTGATATCAGTGTTATTATCTTTCTCATTAGTCTTATTTTGTTAATTATCATTCATTATTGGTATTGTGATCCTTATTAACATTATTATTATCATTATCACCATTATTAACATTACAATCATCATTATCCTAATTACTATAATTATAATCATTATTATTATCATTACACTTATTCATCGTTGTTTTCTGTCTCTTGCCTTCTTTTCTATCATTGTCATTCAAAATTAAGTTTATTATGGACTTTCAGAGTCTAATATTAAGCTTCTTAATCAGATCACTCATTGCTCAGCTTCCCACAATTACCCATAATGAATCTATGAAATTAAAAAAATAGATTAATGTTCTTGTATATGATTCTAACATTAATTAGCCACATTAACCTGAACGCAATGAGAGAAATATAACAAGTGATTAAATTTTCATTCTATAATAAACTTTATAAATAAAAATATAATATATTCTATAATAATTGGAATAAACATTCCAAGCAGGAGAGCAGTATGACCCGGTATATTTAAGAATGTGAAGGACAATTTATGTAAAGAATGTGAAAAAAACAAGTGAAGGACCATTAATATTTTTCGTGAAGAGACTCCAAACATAAAGGCGAAGAAATATAAGCACAAAAGGCATATTGCAGAATGATAATAGGTGCAGCGGCTACCTATCTATTTTGCATGATGAGACCTCAAGCACGGGTGCTATATTTAGACGCAGGTAATTTGCACCGAGAGGGATTTTACTATGCAAAATGGCGTGCGGAGATTTTATTTTTTCCGGGAGTTTATTTTTTTTTTATTTTTTTTTTTTTTTTTTTACCGGGATTTTTTTTTTACCGGGATTTTACATTTTTTTTTTTTCGAAAATTTTTTACCAGGATTTCGGGAATACATTTTTTTTTTTTTACGGGATTTCGAAAATGTTTTTACCGGGGGAATACATCTTTTTTTTTTTTTTTTACCGGGATTTCGAAAATCCCATTTTTTACCACGATTTTGGAAATACTATTTTTTTACCGGGATTTCCGGATATCCAGACAGATTTGTCAAGGATTTCCGGATTTCCTTGGGAATTTCTAAGTTTTCAAAGATGTAAATATTTAAAAAACTATACTGTTATCAGTTTACCGTTATCGTAAATGTTTCAAAAACTATACTGTTATCAGTTTTTCTTTAAAGTTTCCACGTGAAATGCACACATTTACCAAAAACACGACTACTTAAAATTATTGTAACCCTTCAGATAGAAAAAAAAAAACAATTACTTGGCAATTGGAGCATTTTGAAAGGACCAATCCTGTTCCTGAAAAAAATTTAAAAATAAGGGAATAGACAATAGGAAATTACAATAAACTCACGTGACCTTGGAGCTGCATTCGTGACCTCCTGTGTTCCTATTTTAATGATATAACGTTTTGCCAAGATCGCATTATTGCTTGACATATGCGTAATCATTTCTCCGTTTTTTTGTTTTTCCTTTCTTTTTCTTTTTTTCTTTTTTTCTTTTTTTTCCTTTTTTTCTTATTTTTCATTTCTTTCTTTTTTTTCTTTTTTTTATTTCTTATTTCTTTTTATTATTTTTTTCCTTCATTTTTTGCTATTATCATTATTTATCATAATGTTTTCATTAAGATGTTTATCTATTGTTACTGTTATCATCCTTATAATCATCATTATAATTACTATTATTAT